TTATATTTTAGTGAGAATTGCCTGGTTAATTGAGATCAACTGAGGATAGGATTCTCCAGTCTTCAAAAATGTCAGCTGTTACAGGTAATCCGAAATTAGTACTCAAAGTATGGGTTGCTTGTTTTTTGTGTACCTGTCATCTAGGTAACGAACAAAAACATCCTATGTTATTGATACTTACATGTATTTAGCCTATACAGGAAAGAGTTACAGGGATCTTCGTTATACTTTCAGATTTGAAGAAAAATTCATTTTTACTGGATAACTTTTTGTGTTAAAGTAGACTTGTTTAGGAAGTTACATGGGTTTCAATATTTTGAAAAAGTGCTTCATATTTTAAAACACTCTCAGCTTTTTCCTTTGGTGTAACAGTGGGCCCTTTGAAGTACAAGTGTGTAGTTTCTAATGTGTATATCCTTACAATATCCTTACAAAAACATACAATATGTTCTTGCTGCCATTTGTGAGAATTGGTGTATCATCTGCTATGTTTGGACCAAGCTCTCTTTATTTTGAGATAATTTCTTCTTATGCCCAAGTAAATGGGCTTTGAAATAGTGGTATGCATATGGCATTGTGTGACATGTATTAATTACGCTTTTAAACCATGGCATTAATTTCTGTTGAGTTTTATACAATCTGTAATTCACACAGATGCTTGTGAGGATGTAAAGGGACAAATTTCTGATATAGATTCCCTCAGACAGCTTTAACTTCTTGGGAGTATTTGCTTCTGCTAGAAAACAAAAGCTTTTTCGAACACAAGCTAGTCTGAGTGTGGGGTTTTTCTGAGAGGGGAAGAGAAGGGAGGGAGAGTTGTAGCTCCCAAATGTCTGTCTGTGTTTTCATCTCTAGTTGTATCATCTGATTCAGGTAAAAATCCTGCCTTTCTCCCTGCATCTGAAGAGCTATAACTTTTAGCTTCTGTGTCCAAACCTTGACACTACGCATGTCCTCTGGGCTTGCACAGAAGGAAGAGCTAGTGTCATGAGGGACATGAAGGGTATTTTTTAGCTAATAGCCCTTCTTCTATCTTTAAAAGATCATTATTTGTTGAGATTAATGTTGCTTCACATGTAAATACTTTCTACTAAAAATTGGATAGGGTTGTGCTCGCTGTGGAACTGACAAGTACTCTCTTGTGTTCATTTGACCTCTTTCAGCTTTAATGTAGTACTGAAGGTGAGATGCTTTTCATAGCTCTGTATACATCTACAGGAAAAATACTTGCAAGTGTTTCAGTGGAGAGATAATGCTTTGGAGAGAACTGGGCTGTGATGTGATTTTTATTTAATTTATTTTTACCCGTACCCTATACTAACTATTACAGTCATTTATTATTAGTGTTGCACATCTCTCATATACTACAACACCGATGACAGTTTACGGAATATATGACTTCCTAATCTAACAAATAAGCCTTATTATAGGTATGTTTGCATGGTAAATACAGAGATTAGATGGTGTAGTCATATCAATATACCATCAAGGACTTTTTTTTTTTTTCTAGATACTTTTGCTGTTTGTTTAATTTGGATTGCTCTCAGTCAGCAGATAAAAAGTATGATTGCACTTATAGCTGTGATTAGCAGGTTACTATAGTCTCTCCCTGCTTTATCTTGCTTTTCCCTTCAGTGCTGGAGGAGGAACTGGTTTCCATTGAAAATGAGCTGCAGGCAGTGGAGATACAGATTCAGGAGCTTCTGGACAAGCAGCAGGAGCTCATCCATAAGAAGACGGTGCTGAAGAGGCTGATAAAGCAGTCCTCAGAAGACTCAGAGGCTGGGGGAAGTGAAGGCACTGAAAACTCAGCTGAGACCTGGAACAAAAAAGGTTTGCAGAGTCAAATTCAAGTATTGTAGCATGGAGGTGATCTAATTCAGTACATCAAACATGCTTTCATTCAGAATCTATTGGGAGAAAGATCTTATTGTCCCATTTCATTTTTTCAGTTGAGGAACAGCAGGTTTACCATCTTACCTACACAGTGTAATGTTTGTGCTTGCCTCTTTGGACGTTTCTGAATGCTAATCTTAGTTCTTTGAGGTGGAGTTACGAGAAGAATGGCTTGTTATAACCACTTTTATATTCTTCTTGTTGCAGTGTCACAATTGGATTAGATTTGCTGTAAGAAACACAGAGTATATCTAGCTATCATGCAATAGCTGGCTGTCTTTTTAATGTTGTTATGGGTCTTCCTGTGTGAATGAGTAGAACACTGGCGTGCTATAGCTCTGACGTTTTATTCAATGAGGCATATTAGGTGAATGCTGATGGCCAAAAATAATGGAGAGTGAAGCACATTTGTGCCAAGCTGAGAAAGTGCCCTGGGGTCGTGTGCGGGCTGCTGTTCATTTGCAAGTGCTGCCTTTCAAAGGAAATATAACTGAAGCCATGGATGGCTGGTCATTCTTTGCCATGTTGTCTATAGCCAAATTCAGTTCAGATTTTTTCTCCTTTGATTATTTTTACCTCCTTCTCTTTCACATTATTTGTATTTCAGAAGTGCTGCTTTAGTTTCTGTCTGTAGCTATTGTATGTCTCTTCCCTTCCCCCACCTTTTTTGGGAAATGAAAGTTATAGTCTTAACTCATGTTTGTGTTTGAAAAAGTATTATGTGCATGTAAGAATTCTGCTACTTCATAATGGCACACTGGTGATACTGAACAGATAGATTTTTGGGGAGTGATTTGATACCTAGCTCTATTTTTCTGTGCTTAGAGAACTGTCATCTTTTCAATCAGATTCTGCATGCATATGTATTAAATAAGCGCAGTAGCTAAATTTGGGCCTGGTCTAAGCTTTTTGAAGTCAGTGAGAGGCTTTCTTTGACCTCAAGGGACTTTTGGATCTTAACTATGATCCTTATAAATGAGGAAGCAATATTACCTCAAACCTTAAAGTTAATTCTTACATTGCATGCAATATAGTATGGAATTCCCACAGTTTTTCTGTATTTTTCTTTTATTGATGTGAAAAATGGCTAATAAGCCTCCTGATGAATCTGAAATTCAAATTTTCATTGTATTTTCTCTTTAAAATGATGAAGAGTGTTTAAATCTTCCTTAGAGGGAAAAAAAAATTGTTTCAGGGTGGGTTTCTCCCTTCCCTTGCATTTCAGATTAATCAAGTTTATTGAAAGTGAGCAGTTTCAAGTCCTCAAGTCTTTCATCTACATGAGTTTCATTTTTAGCATGACTTCACACTTAAATGAAATGCAAGTCTTTAGAAAAGAGGATTATGTGTACATCTTGATTTGTTTTCCAATGGTACATCTACAGAAGTTAATTTATACAGGCTTAGTGTAGTGTGTAGATTTTTTTTATATGCCTTTATTCAACCTTTGAACATTTTCCCTGATTGTAAAATTGAACTACTTTCAGAAGTAGCTATATATGTTAGTTACTTTTGCTTCCTATATTTTAGTGTAATAAATTCTGTGATTTTTTTCTTTAACAGATTTTCCCTGGTATGAGAAGATCAAAACAGCACTGCAGAGCACGTTTAACCTCCACAAGTTTAGGTCACTGCAACTTGAAACAGTAAATGCTGCAATGGCAGGAAAGGATATATTTCTTGTCATGCCTACAGGTGGTGGAAAGAGTCTTTGCTATCAGTTACCTGCTGTCTGTTCTGATGGTATGTTGGGAGAGGGAGAAAGTTGAATATGAACAATTCTCTTTCATTTACCCCTTTTGTACTTCTTTGGAGAATGAACATTATATTAGTGTTTCATATGAACAGCTTAGATGAGACAAATAATTGATCGTTACAGGTTTCACTCTTGTGATATGTCCTTTGATATCGCTTATGGAGGATCAACTCATGGTTTTGGAGCAACTTGGAATTTCTGCAACTTTATTAAATGCCTCAAGCAGTAAGGTATGTTTAATTGCCAAGCTCTGAATGTCATTTTGTGGAGTTCACTCAGGCATGTTGCCTAAATGCATGTTGTTTATGAATACTGAAGGAACTTGCCTATTTATGAATACTAACTTAACAGTTCTGTCAGCTAATGTCACAGCTCCCTGGTGTGATATGGGTAAGATGAATGAGTATCTTGATTTTTTTTTTTGAAAGAAAATCAGATGTAAGTCAACATCTCTCATGGAATAGAATTATTTTAAGGCTGGGGAGTACCTTTTGCCTCTATGTGTTGTATCTTTCTACTCTGTTCCTGGGTTTCAAAGCGATGATCAAAACAGACTGAGAGAGCTCGGCCTGTTCAGCCTGGAGAAGAGAAGGCTGAGAGGGGATCTGATCAGTGTCTATAAGTACCTCAAGGGAGGCAGTGAGGAGGATGGTGCTGGCCTCTTTTCAGTAGTGGCCACTGATAGAACTAGAGGAAATGGCCACAAACTGAAGCATCAAAAGTTCCACAGAAACTTGAGGAAAAAATTCCTCACAGGGAGGGTGACAGAGCACTGGAACAGGCTGCCCAGAGAGGTTGTGGAGTCTCCTTCTCTGGAGACCTTCCAAACCCGCTTGGATGCAGTCCTGTGCCACGTGCTCTAGGTGACCCTGTGTGTGCAGGGGGGTTGGACTAGATGACCTCTAGAGGTCCCTTCCAACCTTAAGCATTCTATGATCTTGTACACTAATGGCATGTTGAGCAGTGCAAACTCATACCACTATTTCTCTTACTTCAGAGTGGTAAACTGTTTGCTCCAGAGACCTAGAAGCAACTTATTTCCCAGTCTGCTCTTAGCTAACTGCTTTTTACAGTGAAACATTTAATTTAGTAACTATCAAGAGATCATGGTTATTAACTTGCCTGCGATACCGGATTTAATGGCTTAGTGGCTTGTTGCAATATGACAAACTTTAAGCCTGCTTTCAGGCAGAGCACTTTGAAAACTCAGTAGTAAAGATTACAGTTGGGACTAGTTGATGTACATAGGAAATTATTTTGTAGCACCATGTTTAGTACGTGATAGTTTGTGGTGCAAAGAGTGATACCCCATGATGAAGCAAAGTTCAATATTCAACAGCGGCCCTATTAGAAGATCTGTGATAGAATTTTCAGGCATTAGAATTAATATGTATTTTCTGCAAAGACTTTAGTAGAGGTAAATGATATATAATGCTGTCAGCCCCTGTTAATTGCTCCCTAGATTGTTAATAGTCTCTTAAGAAGTCTAGCCCTTAGCAACTTCTTTATCTCATCCTGGTTTGTTAGCCTCTGATTTCTCCTTTTGTTTTGAACAGGAACATGTGAAGTGGGTTCATGCTGAAATGCTGAAAAAAAATTCGCAACTGAAGCTCATTTATGTGACCCCGGAGAAGATTGCAAAAAGCAAAATGTTCATGTCAAAGCTAGAGAAAGCTTATCAAGCAGGATGCCTCGCTCGTGTCGCTGTAGATGAGGTCCACTGCTGTAGTCAGTGGGGCCATGACTTCAGGCCTGGTATGCTCATTAGGAGTCGACTTTGCAGCGTTATTCAAGCATCAATAAATGATGAGCTAGGCCAGAAGTAAAGCCAAGCATGTTCTTCATGCATTAAGTAAATATTTCCATTTTTAGGTAGGCAAAGTATTTCTGTTAGCTCAAAGACTTTAAATTTTGTTCACAACTGACTATATCCTTTTCCAAGAGCTAAGTACATGCAAATAAGGGCAATTTCAATGCAGATCTCATTGTCAGTCCTCTGAAAAGCTGCCTATTTTAATTGGAACATAATCAAGTGGAACAGTTTTTGGCTGCCATCATTAATATGCATATTAAAGTCATCTTTATTGTCACAGGAAAGAAGTGCATCATTTTATATAGTGTTCCCTGACACTCTGAATGACTGAGGCAGAGAATTTCATTCTAGGATGCTAAATTTGATGATCCTTTAAAATATCTGCTACTGCATTAGTGCTGTTCTGCACTTCTGAAATTCATGAAATAAATTTTAGTTACTTTTTAAGTAACTTGCAGCAAATGCCCTGAGCTTGCAGGGAAAGAAAAATTGTGCTTCATTTTGTTTCCTATTTTGTCAGCTTAGTAGTTGCTGTTTTTCTTCCTATGAAAGATAAAATGTGATTTAAAACAATGATTACTGTGAAGTCAATGTTTGCCATTTTTGTTTAAAAATGGTATCTAAGTAGAGAGAGACATTCTGGAGAAAAAGGCAACGTGGAATTCAGGTATATACCTCCTGTACAAGGGTAGCAAGTGATTCACAGCACTGAACCTTTAAAATCCTTCCTTAGCGTGATTTGATGTATGTATCCAAATTGCACGTTGCTTATTTGTCAGCAAAGCTGTCTTAACTGAAAAACTGTTGTTAAGCACAGGCCTGCAATCTAATCTGTGCATTGGTTAATGCAATGCCACTTTCTTCTAATTCTTTCAAGAAGTGTCACTCTTGCATGTTTTACTCCCTGAATTGTGGCTGCTCTTAAAAAATTTAATTGCAAGGGAAAGCGCTGTTTTGAAGAATGCAACATTCTTGCCACTTCATTTGGATGTATAAATTAGTTGCTACTTACTGCAGTTAATCTATAACAAGTTAATAATAGTTACGTGGATGTATTACTTCTGAGCCCTGGATCTATGGTACAAGAAATCTCCTTTCTGTATTCTTGTGTAGACTACAAGTCTCTTGGTATTTTGAAACGACAGTTTCCCAACACTCCATTGATTGGGTTGACTGCAACTGCTACAAATCATGTTTTAAAGGATGCCCAGAAAATTCTCTGTGTTAAGAAATGCATAACCTTTACTGCATCTTTCAACCGGCCCAATCTTTACTATGAGGTATGTCTTTCTGCCTGTCTGTAGACTGCATTGCAGTAATGCTGTTTTCTGGAATTTAATATGTTCTTAATATGAAAAAGGCTTAGTAATTAGGCCTGTGTAACATGGAGAGAGAGATAGCAATCTCAGGTTCCTGCAATCCATTAGAAAATGTCATTTAATATTGAAAAAAGCTAGAAATTACTGTAGCGTGATGCATCTGTCTAACCATACCTAATTTCATTGTTCTTCAGAGAAAACTTCTGGGTTTCTTTTTCTGGAGGGCTTCTGAAATGTATTTGAGCTTTACATGCAGAATATATAGTACTTCTGGTTAAGTGGCAGAATAGATGGGTTCATTATACTGGAAGAAGAAGGTTAATAGGATTGTTTGATGGATTGCTTTCCAAAATGAAGAACACTGTCTTGTGTGTATTATTTGAGGTTCGACATAAACCATCAAATAACGAGGACTTCATTGAGGACATTGTTAAGCTCATCAATGGAAGGTACAAAGGACTCTCAGGTAAACAGTATAAAAAATGTTGTTATCTTTGGCATTATGGGGATGTTTTGAAATGATCATGAAATATTTAGAGAAATTCCACTTTCACCATACATTAAACAGCCAATACTAAAATAATTTAAATTTCATTCCTTGCTGTATAAATGTCTTGACAATTTACTTGCATCTTATGAAGTATTAAAATGTAGTCAGAGATGCTGATATATGTAGGATAGCAACAATTTTTAACATTATTAAAATGAGGCTCAGATAAGGCTACTTTTATGCCCTTAGTTTATTCACATGCCTTTTAGTATCTGTACATCAGAATACCATCTTTACCACTTCTTTATCGTGTTTGATCCCAAGATTCATGTCTCATTCAAAGTCCAGGGTGGATTTGGAGTGACATGAAGTATGCTTATGCAGTTAAGGATGGAAGTGTAAAAGTTGGGCTTTGCATATTTTACTGCAAGTAAAGAGAAGAGAGCCCTATTCTAAAGGCAACAGAAACAAACTTTCCAAACAGAACCAGTCTATGCCTGTCTTTGCTGCTCTGCTGGGCAGCTCCCTGGATACAAATCTCTGCACAGCTGTTCACAAACTACCTATTACATCTACATTGGGATTCTAGTGTTACATCCAGAGTTGCTAAAGCATTCATAGCAGCAGATGATGTTGGTGGAAGCTTATCTTAAATGTAATTGTGCTGTGTCACTAAATACTCTTGAAAATGTGATTCCAGGCATCTCAGAATGGTCATCCAAATTTAGTGAATGCCACTGACCATAGCTGGTTCCTTAGCAGAAAAAAGGAGCTGCAGTATCAGTATGAGAAATTATCAATGTAAGTTAATACTTGCAGAGCATTTGTTATGGATGATGAGGGCCATAGAATTATAAGTGACATAAGGAGCTTTACTATATTCTAAACAGATTTTAATAGTGCAGTAAATTAAATCTAGAGCAAAATGTTGAATATAAAATAAGATAGTCAGCTACTGAGCAGTAGTAACATCTGTGCATGGTGTGAGCAGAAACACTCTAGAAAAATAATATTTCAGTTGATAATTAAAGGCTATATCATGATGCATTTGCAGAAATCGTGCAGAGAATTAAGATCATACAGAGTATTCCTAATTCCAACCCTTCCTCCTTTGTAAAATTTCACTGTATAACCTCAATATCCTCAAAAGCTGAGACAGTAAAAAAATAATGTTAAGTAAACATTTTTTTTTCTCAGTTTGCTACTATGTGAAGCTATATAGGCTTTTGCTTAGGCCATCAATACAGCTGACTCCTTTGGATGAACCATACAGACAACTCTGCAATATAAACTCATATGCTACATCCTTTTTTTAAAAAAAAGAAAAAAAGAATTAGCTCTTCTGTTTTTTGGTCAGGAACCAAATGGGGAATAGATGCATGCAGACAAGGTGCATCTATCAGGCAAATATCTGCTGGGTGAGGAATGGGAGCCATAGATTTTTTTTTTGACCAAATTAATTAAATTTAGCCTTTTGTTTTTGGTCTGTTTCTGTCTTCCTTGCTCCAGGCTTATTTTCTCAGGTACTGTACTTCAGTCACAGTCCTCTGTATTGTGTCATCTTTCTTAGTTATATGAAAACTGGAATTATTATTTTGAGGGAGAAAATTGCATCAGAAAATAAAAAAGTTTGCCTTAAATTTAATGTTGTCAAAGAATGGCTCCTCTAGCATTTCGTTATTTATGAGCTCAGAATAATGGTGCTTTGCAGTGTTTAATGGGTGCTCTGCAATGTTTAATGAGATGTTTAATGAGTGAAAAAACACCACTTGGCTATGAAATGATGATGATAGCCATTGATCATTCTTCTCTCAAACAGACAGTGCTCCCAACTCATGGCTTTGTGTGAAATCCTTGACCTAGCCCAGTGTGACTAATGATAAGAACTAGTTACCTGAAATCTCAGGTGATATGGTATTGATGTCATGTGTGTAAATATATATATATGTGTGTGTGTGTGTGTATCATAAGGAACAGCACCCCTTTTCATAGCGCTGTCCTTCTTTCATTATACTAACTGGCACCCATATTTTCTCTGTAGCCTACAAGCCAAAATCAGATTGAACCGTTTCTCTGCACTACAAAAAAAAACCTAAACTGTGGATTAGGTCACTTTTCCCCCTAATTTAAGGGAGGCATTTTAGGGCAGAGAGTAATGCAAGAGTCATCATCTTCTATCTTTTTATATTGATCATTAAAATTTCAATCAAGAAGCATCCATTGACATGGCTACCAATACCTCACCTTGAATAGGAACAAAGGTCACTTAATGTTTTTCTCTTAATTGTTCTTGGTCTTTTTATTTCTTCTTAATTTTCTGAAACTTTAAGAAAAGTTGTCTTCACTTTCTTGCAGGAATTGTTTACTGTTTTTCTCAGAAGGACTCAGAGCAAGTTACTGTGAGTTTGCAGAAACTGGGAATCAAAGCAGGGACTTACCATGCAAATATGGATGCGAAATATAAGACCAGAGTTCATAAAGGATGGGCGACAAATGAAATCCAGGTGAAGCAGACAGATATTTTCATAGGGTTTTGTTTCATTTAAACTAATAATGTCTTGGTACTTTGATGGTTTGTTACTCTTATTTTAGGTTGTAGTGGCAACTGTTGCTTTTGGCATGGGAATTGATAAACCGGATGTGAGATTTGTAATACATCATACTATGAGCAAATCTATGGAGAACTACTACCAAGAGAGTGGACGTGCAGGTATTGTAAGAACCAGTTTTTGCTAAATATCCACTGACATTCTTAAGCTAATAAGCGTGGGCTTTTATTTCAGCCATTTCTGCAAAGTGCCTTTACTTTACAGGTTCCAAACTGTATAATACCATTCTGCCTTTGTAAAAAGCCTTTAAAGCAAATATAAATTACACTCATGATTTCAGGCCTCTATATTGTGGTATAGAAAAAAGGCCTCAGAATTTAGACCTTTGCCCAGTGTTTTCTGAATAGCTTGATTTTTGTGACATGTATGATTTAGCAGAATTATTTCATAATGTGACACTGACTAATCATATGTGTATAATAGGATATTTTTATTATTATTTTTAAAAAGCAAGTGGGATTAACAGTCTTTTCAAAAGACTCTAAGTACTGTTTAACCACGGAATGAATTTCACTGGTGACAGAAATGCAAGTAGGATAGGGAGTCTGAGGCAGGAAATGTCAAGGATTGATCGTTGTATAACAGCACTAGATACCTTTTGTGGCCAAAAAAAGAGCTGTTTTACTTTGGAAATAGGAATAATGCACAAGCTTGAAGAAGTTTGAATGTACATGGAAGAAAGCTTTCGAAGGACCTTGATGGGCAATTGACTGAGATCTTAATGCTGCTTGTACAAAAGAACTTGACTTTAATGTTGAGCTGCAAAAGATGCACTACCCCTTAAAGTTTGTGCATATTACACCACAGCTGGTGTCTTCTAGAAAGTGCTGGGATAACAGGAAGTAAAAAGGATTAAGTGGTGAGGTAGGAGTCTTACATAGGTACTGAAATCAGTGTTTTTCTCTGTTTAACCTTTGGGGTGAATGTTTCTCATTTGGCACTTTACAGCAATCTGGTGGGTTTTTTTGGTACATAACTCCATTTATTTGATATTCTTCTAGTATGCTTTCATTAATCACTGCTACCAGTTTGCCTGAGCGCAGTGTTTAGCTTGGGAAACCTTTCTTTTTCTCCCATTCACCAATCCAAGTGAAATTATTATGTTCTGTTCCCAGTGGTGAACAGAAGTTTGGGCTGGCTAGGCCTTTTTTGCCCGCTGGGTCTTGCAGAAAAGGGGGAGGACACCCATCAAATACATCATCATCTCAGTGTAGGGGGGAAGGAGAGCACAGGGAGAGGAAGAGATGATCTAAGTGCAGCTATAGAAGGCACAGTTGGTTTTAAATAGAATATTTTATTAAATCATTTTCTATAAGATGACAGCAACATGGGGAGTTTCCCTTTATACAGCAGCAGAGAGCAGTGATCAAGCAACTGCTTTCTAACTAACTGTTTCTTTACGAGTTGTCATGAATCCCTAATAAGGTAGTTGAAGCTTATCCAAGTCTTGTAATACAAATTAGACTTTAATGTGTTTTTGGATAGGACTTTGCAAGAGGTGTCGGAATGGGTAAATACTGCTTCCATTGACTTTGTGCATCAAATTGATAACATTTTAATAATTAAAGAGTCCCAAACTTCTATTTGTAGTGTTTTCAGTTTGCTTCATTCTGTAATTATATAAGACAATTCTAAATTAATCTTATTGCTAGTGTGTGTCATGCTGTTTTCTGTTGGCTGATAGGCTCTGCCTCATCATGTTACAGTGGTGCCCCCTCTTTATAGAATAGAGGGGCTACAGGGGCACATGCAGGTAAGAGTAGAATTTGTACTAGGAAAAGAAAATAAAAAAGTAAAAAGTAAAAGTAAATTGCTGAAAGTAAATCACTTGTAAAGTTTAAATGTTGTTTGTTTAAATGCATTGTAGGTAGAGATGACCAAAAAGCTGACTGCATTTTATATTATGGTTTTGGAGATATATTCAGAATCAGCTCAATGGTAGTGATGGAAAATGTAGGGCAAGAGAAACTATATGATATGGTGTCTTACTGCCAGAACATGAACAAGTAAGTTCCTGAAGTGGCTGGATTGCTTAGCTTTTCAATAACTATCCTTTTTTTTTTCTCTTGTTTTTAAAAAGGCTTTAAAAAAAGAGACAGAAACTGCTACCGCTGTAACTGAGTCTTGATTTCTGGGGTTTGTGCTTTGACTGCTCAGTATGTGTAACTGCTGCAAATAAAATAGCTCAGCTATGTTTTATGCTAGTCTCATGGTAAAGTTTTGAAAGTGTTTATATTGAGGTAAAAAAGTCTGGCAATTTAAAGTATTTGGATTTCAAATCCAATTAGGTGCAAATCCTGAGATACTTTGCCTTTTCAGTCTCATGTCAGTGTTTAATGGCCATGCAAGACTCCAGATATTTTTAATGTTTTTAATGTTTCACTTATTGCATTGAACTATATTGAATGCTTTATGGAAAACACAATTCATAAAATCTATATAGCCTTTGCTGGCCTGAGTGTATATTTTTACAATTTGCATTGTTCTGGAATTGCAGATTGTATTTACTCTTCTGCTTTAACCAAGCTTTTCCCCTTGAGATATTTAATATCACTGAAAGCTATTAGCTACTCCAGTCAGCATATCTGACAGGAAATACTATGCTACTGTATTTGTCTTCTGATTTTCTTTCTTCAGATTTTTTTTTTGAGATACAAGCTGACTTTTTTTTTGCATTTACTTGATTTATCAAATAGATATGTACATTTACATTCTGCAGCCCCTCCTTTGCTCTTCTGTGCTCTCAGGTGTCGCCGGGTCCTCATAGCCCATCATTTTGATGAAGTGTGGGATTCTGCAAACTGCAACAGAATGTGTGATAATTGCCGTAGAGAAAACTGTAAGTAAATTATTTATTCTTCGAATGTCAAGCAAGTTCCTGTAAAATGTGAAAAATGCTATCTACTTGCCTCGTATACCTGTGGCAAAGCATTGAGAAAATGCAGTGATGAACACTTGGAATACTTACAAACAATTCTGTGTTCAAAACTATTCTGATAATTACACTTCCCTGAATATTTCGTTTTAGGTAGAGTAGATGGAGAAATAAAAGATATTTGGCCTCTTTTTTGCATTATACAGTTGTTTCTAGCCATATAATAAAGCTGTTTTGCAAAAGGATGCAAGGTATAATATGTTATTATCCACTACCTGGAAGTGAGGCTTAAGTGAAGTTTATATTGGCATTAGAGAACAAGAAAAATACAAAGTTTTGGCTTGAACTTAGAGGAGTCACATGTTGAAGTATATTTTTAAAATGTCCCAACTGCTAGGACCTGTTGATATATGAGGGATGTCTGGGGAAATTTAGCAATAGTTCTCGCTTCTGGGTATTTAAATCTTAGTATTAGAGGTGGCAGTTTGGGTAATCTTGGGCTCTGATCGGCTGTGCAGTAGTGGCATGATCGTTATGCACTACTTGCTTGTGGTTTTGCTCTGAAATGACACTTCATGATGAAGCTATTTTGTGTAACAAAATGCACATGTTTTCTCCTCTTATTTTGTCTGCTAGGTATTTTGGAAGAAGAAATGCTATGCTCATATTCATCAATTCCTCTTTGCTTTTTAATATTTTCGTAGTGATTATTGGTGAGAAAGTGAATCCAGGATTAGAGAGTAGCTGTCTTACAAATATTATATTTTGCAAATGCTTCCTTGAAATAATTTCAATGTGGTTTGTCAAGTTAAATATATGCATAAAAGTTGACAGGATCTAAGTTTTAATAACCAGAAGATAAATGTAAATTTATCTATAAATATACTCTAATTTGATAGAGCAAAGGTTTTTGGCTCTTCTATGACATTTGTTGACTTAGTTTAAAAAAATACACTGCCATAAATAACTTATTATTTAAATATTGCTTCATTTGCACTTGCAGCCTTTCAGGAAATGGATATAACAGGATACTGCCGGGACCTCATCAAGATCCTTGAGCAAGCCGACAACATGAGTGAGAAACTCACCCCGCTGAAATTAGTTGATGCGTGGGTGGGGAAAGGGGCCTCGAAGCTGAGGGTGGCTGAAGTTACCCCACCAAAACACCCTCGAGAGGAGCTGGAGAGAATCATTGCCCATCTACTGCTGCAGCAGTACCTGAAGTATGTGTAACAGCATATATTACTGCTTCTCCTTTCCTTTAAAATGTAAATCGTGTTGCTTTCTAATAATATTAATAGATATATCTTTAGCTTGTATTTCAGAAGCATTTGATGTATTTCAAAAGACAGAAAAGGTTTTTTTTTTTTTTTTTTTTACTTCTATTTATAAAGTACTGACATAGAGGCCGGTGGAACACCTAAAATATTTTTCTGTGCATCTTTGCAATTTTAGAAAGTTGGGATCTTCTGCGGTTACACAAGTGGAACCTTTAAATCTGCAGCAAGCTTTGTTTTAGATGAGTCAGTTATTTTGTATTGAGTCTTATTAACATCTCATGGATAAGCAGAGCAAATGGGATTGCCAAGTCAGGACAAGGTGGCAAGTATGGAAGGTGGTACTCAGGAATTTTTAAGAGACCATGAAATACTAGCAGTGCTTCTGTGTGGTGTTTTTTCTCTTATAGTTTTATAAATTCTAGTGATAATGCAAAATCAAGTGCTTCAATCTCTTTGTGGCCTATTTCTTGGCATTTGTTTGCACGGTTGGCTTTTTATACTTCTAAGATTATAGAGACTCATATAAGAGGTGAATGATTAGGTATTTTTCTCCTCACCTTTCTCCGATATATTCAAACAGATCAGAAGCACAGATGCCTGTGCCATCACCCCCTGTCCCCACAAGCTGAATTGCCAAGTATAGAGAGCCCCTCTAAACCAAGTAACTCTTTGCTTGAAATACTAAAGCAGAATCAAGCTCCTATTTGCAACAACTGTCAGAAGGGTTACTAAATACATTCCTTTCCATCCGCACCCCTCCCTGGCCATGTGGTCTATTTTGTTTGTCTCCAGCCATCCCTTATAACAAAAAGGGTAGGGAAGACTTCAGCTTCACGGCATTTGCTACAATATCCTACCTGAAGAAAGGACCAAAGGCTGATCTGCTAAAAAACAAGGCACATATCATCACAGTACAATGGACAACAAACGATAAGAGCATTTACAGGGTATTTAAATCTGACTGACTTAATATATGGATATGTTTTCCAATAATTTTAATAGGTTGGCATCTTTACAATTCATCTTCCATAGTAATTCAATCGACAAGATTTAAAACAGACCTCTCTATTTTCTCTTGCATGGGTACATTGAAAAAGAATTTTGAAATTTTAATAGAGCTGTTTTTCATTTACAGAACAAACCATCTCAATCTGCAAATTTGCAAGGAAGTGGAGGAAACACTCAGAATATTTCAAAGAGTATCCAAGATTCAGCAGTGAAGAAGTCACAAGAACATAAGCGGCGCAACTGTGGAACCAACTCAAAAGCAAAGAAGATTAAGCTTGAGGCAGGTGGAAATGGAAAACCAATAGTTCTTGACTGAGTCTTAGAGGCTACATCTAGGACTAATGATGTTTGCTTCTCTGTGACAATTGTAAGTCCAGCTCGTATTTTAGTAGTAGTATTTTCTGTTAAAAGGATCTGTGTTCTTTACAAAAACAAACAAAAAAAGGTCAACAGAAGACAAATATTATTAAAACCTGGCTATACCGAGAAGATTAAACCCTTTGCTCTACCTCAAAACTATCACCACTTGAATAATTAGCAAAGGGGGAAATGCTTGATATCAAAGTAATTGGTACTTATCTTGTGATATGGCAATGACTACAAAATGTAAATAACTGTTATGTTGCCTTTCATAATCTTCTTTTTTGAAAGTGCTGCCTATAAAAACACTTCATCACAGAGTGAAATGTGTTGGAAGGCACCTCCAGAGATCATCTAGTGCTGAAAGCTGGTCCAATTAAAGCAAATTACTGTCCCAAGGATGGACACCACCGCTGCTCTCAGGGTAGTTTCTGGCTGTCCCTCCTTTGCAGTGCAGAGCCAGGGTGGTTCTTGGTGGCCTTAAGTGTGGACTGCATCAAGTTTAATCTTGGGACATTTCTGGATTGTATTCCTTTAACATACCTGAGAAATATACCTATACATTTGCTTATGCAGTTCCTGCTGTGGTTATGGAAATAGGGAGAGAAGGCCACTAACTATAGGTGCACATCTCTGGCCATGGCTTAGAGAGTGACATATTTCCACATCTCTTGTGACTCCCAGTTCTTTTCATGTATCATTTTGCTTTTGTCAATGCGAGACAGAACCAGCACCTTTTGCTGCAAATGTTGAGGCAAATGTTCCCCCATCCCAAGGAACTGAAAAACTGCCAACAACTGTCTGCAGTGAGCACTGAGCATCATGTATAGCTTTATGTGCATTTATTACAGCTGTGCAGGTAACAGTACTGTTCTTGATGGCATGTAGGATAGATTTTAGAGTGATGCTTCTGTGCATTAAAATTGCAATCATTGAATTGTATGCTATAGACTTGGAGACTGTGTGAAATTCAAATCTTAGCTGACAACTTGACGTGCTTTAAACTGTTGTTTTTTTTTTTTATTGCATACCACCCGACACACCTTCCTACCTGCATTTTTCATCCTAGAAATCTAAATAAAAAATACTAAATGTGGAAATCTTGATCTGAAGTAGTACAGGTCACTTGATTCCTGTTAAAGAAGTTGGTGCAAACAGCTGCTATGGTAGAACGAAGCTCTGTGGCTTTGTCCTTTTACTGTGTGAAATTTTGAAATGTTTCTCTGTAATATTTAATACACATTTAGTGAAAATAATCGTTGACAGAAAACAGGTGATGAAAACCATATAAAATTACAAATAAAGGGTAGAAGAGCGAGGTTGTGTTCTAAAGCATTTCACAAGCAGTAGGGATTTGATATTAGAGAAGTTGTGATTAAAATGTAATGAAATTGAGATTTGGAATTAGATCAAAACTGACTCCTTGGCTTTATTTTTTATTTTTTTGCCAGAGATGCGCAAAAGAGAAAGTGTGTTCCGAGCTGAGCATGGACAGGGCCCGAGTTTGAACACTGAGACATTAGCATACCAAGTACGCGGGGATAGAAGATAAGGAATATTTTCAAGCTATTACCTGCACGAGTCTGGGGAAAGAGCAGCTGCTTCGGAAATAAGCGTTTGGTCACTGGCCAAGTCTTTTGCTGCAACTGCCTTGGGAACTGTGTCGTGGGAACCTCCCAGTTCCGCGGGGACGTGTCAGGGCTGGCAGCCAGACCAGCCCGGCCAGGAGCGCGGGTGCGAAGAGCAGCTCTGTTCTTGCTGGGCCAGCCCTTCGCTGGTGCCACGTGCAGGGCCTTCACTGCTTGGAGCTGGACCTTTCCGCAGTGTTTAATCGCAAAGGCACAGGGGTCCTGCTTACCCTGTTTATTAACTGAATAAGGTGAAAGCTGCAAGTAAGAGCTAGTAGATTAAATGCACTCTGAAATCTTAGGTGCATTTAACTGTTTGATACAAATGACTGTACTGAATTTTGTACTCTTAAACATATTGTTAATGAGCAATTAACAATGGCAAGGGGGGAACATACTACTTCGTTTCAAAAAAAATTTTTAACAGTTTTAGTAAAATTTACTACTTGAGTTGTAATTTAATCTTCTGTAGTTGATGTATATGTATAGGAGAATGGCTACAGTAGTAAAGGCCATGTTCACAGCTGTGAAGTTCTGGTGCTCCTGACACTTTTTTTTTTTTTTTTTTTTTTCCTTTCAACAGAAAATTCAGTCCTTTCCTTGTCCTCTACCTCCCATGTCATTTCTAAGCTTGCTTGTATGACTCCCTAATAACAGGGCTATAAAATAAAGAACTTATTTCCTGTGAGGGTGACAGAGCTGGAAACAGGCTGGAACAGGCTGCCCAGAGAGGCTGTGGAGTCTCCTTCTCTGAAGATCTTCTAAACCTGCCTGGATGCCACCCCGTGCCACATGCTTTAGGCCTCCCCGCTGGAGCAGGGAGGCTGGACTAGATGATCTCCAGAGGTCCCTTCCAACCTCAACCACTCTGTGATTCTGTGAAATGGTGCTGGATTAATTCAATAATCATGAAACTACCCTTCCTGTCAACCACTTCCTCCCCACATCTTGTGATGAAAACAGAAGCAGCAAAACCAGAAGGCTGAAGACAGGGGAGATGGCAGCACGGTGAAGGAGACTGATCTCGCCTTATAAATGTCAACTCCTGTCTCTCACATGCCCTTCAGGCGAGAAAACCTTTCGCAAAACTGATCTGCCTGGGGCAGAGCTGCACACACAGCTTGGATCAGTAACTTCTTACTTGGATCAGTAAGCTTTTATAGTGCTCTTACATGTGTTTAAAGCACTTGCAGGGATATGCTGTTAGGATGCACCAAGGAAGTTAGCTAGTTTAAAAGTACATAAAGTCCACCTGAACTTGAAGTAGCTTTAGAGTTTTGGTCACAGTGTGGTCACAGTCCTCAATGCTAGAGTTACAATTGCAGCTTCTCTTACAAAATAAGCCTAGAACTGTTAATAAGTGAAGCTTTGCCATTTGCTCAGTAAAATGAGCCAAAAATATTGGTTGCTTTTTTTTAAAGTGTTTTAAATCTGTTTCATGGAAGCTTTATTTAGAAGTTGTTATTCAAAAAAAGAACAATTCTACCACCTTAAGGTTTGCATTGTAAAGCTCCTCAAAGACTCTCAAATGCAGGGAATACAAAGTAGTGCTTGAAGAATCCGAAAGAACTCCTATTTTCCAGTAGTGAGATGAAAGGGGCTGTTAGGAGCTTCAGCTCTTCCGCAATAAAGGGCTTAGCATACGGGGTTGTTCTGCATCTCCAGAACTGCTTACGCTCCTGTGATTACCATGTGAATAGCAATGCTGAGACTGTCAGCACTATTTTTTCAGCCCAAGCACCTTTATGAGCTTCATGCATATTCTCTGCTGTGCAACTCTCACCCCTAACAGAACAGTGCCCTTCAGCATCCTGCACCCGCCTCCTCGATCCATCATCATCCTCATAGTTGCACTTACTTACTCTCCTCAGCAGTCTCCAGGAGCTGAGGACAGTCTTCATTCACTACAGGTTTTTTTGCTTCCCCTTCCAGAGCTGGCTTTAGATTGCAGGAATATACCTTACGGGTATGTATAACAGAAATACATAACCATGTATCAAATGGTTCAGAAAGTAGGATGCCATAGCACCATCAAGTGCACAGACTTGGAGAGATGCTAAGGCTCAAAGGAGTCTTTTAACTGCTGCCCTCTCATTTTCTGAGAGTCTTAGCATAGCCTGTCTTAGCATGATAGATGAGTTTAAACTCAGCTTATAAACTTCGTTCTGGTGAGTTTCATTTTAAAATACATTTCCCCACACTTGAGAATTTAAATGTATATTTAAATATAATCAAACTCAAAGATTAAAAAACACATTTATCTTTATTTTTCTAGTAGCACCCTGAGAAGGACTAAAGCACAGAATTTTACCCATCATTTAACTTAAACTTTTTGATCAAGTGAAATTTATTCATTTATTTAAACAATCATTTACTTAAAAATTAGAGTAGAGTTATTTTCTAGTGGAAGTCCCACACTGTACTTCCAATCTTGTATTTTGGATAGTATAAGCTACTCCCAGCTTGATCTAAAAAAAAAAAAAAAAAAAGGGAAAAGAAAAAAAAGGATCTTTAAATCCCTAAAGCAATCATCCTGTTTACTTCCTTTTCTTTCCCTTGCAAAAACATAAACTAGAAGGATCCGCTGAAAATCATACCAATGTTGTTCAGACACCTTCTTATTAATACGACAATCAAATGGCAGCTATGATGCCATTTACCATCTGCAACTTTGTTGTCTTTTTGTGTAATTGAATAAAGAGGTAAGACTATGTCGAAAAAAATACTTAAACTATCTCAAATTTTCCTATGCAATCATGTTACATTCAGTAATATTCAGTAAAATTCAGTAATATCAGCTAAATGTAGGTAAGATGTGCTTGTACTTAACGATTGTACTGAATCACTACAACCTGTCTTTTTCTGTACTTTTGACCTGTGTTGTATAGACATAACATAATGTAGTGATAGTCTATAGACAGAAAGGATTTACTTAACAGATATTAAAAACTGTGGATATGGCAAAAAATGTACCTTTCAGGAAAGAAAAAAGCATATTTCATGGACAAGGTAATCAGGACATGTGACAGGAGTGATTTCTTCCAGTGTTATTTTATAGTGAAAATAAAAGAAAAAGTCAAAGTAAATGTGCAGCAGAGCAAAGAGAAAATAGTTTTGTATATGCTATGCAGATTTTTGCCTTCTGTTCTGTCAAATCAAAGAGTGTATCACTGAAGGGCTATCGCATAAACATTTCACACACCCGATATTTTGCTTTATACTCCACTGTGGGGGAAAACATGGAAATAATAGACAATGCATGTGTTTTGTTGCCTCCCAGACATCCCAGAATAGGTGATCCTATCCCTGATTTCTGCTAAGTCCAAGTGAACTGTTTCATAAAAAGTTTTATACAAAAGAGAAAAGGAATTCAGTTCAATCAAAATAATCTTCTATATCAATATTTGGATTCAGGAGATCTTCCCCATAGGCTGAAAGATCCATGCGATTTAAAATCAAGTTTTCAAAGGTTTCTTCCAAGTCTGTTTCACCAATCAGTACAGCTCCCATCATTCTTCCATTCTGCATCACCACCTTAACGTACTCTTGTCCCTTGGTACATCTCAGCATTAGTTCGTGGTTTAAACCCAAGCCTTGAGCATTGTATTTTCCCAAAACCACCACCTAACAGAGAGAAGAAGAAAAAGCGCTCGTGATAACATTACAGTGGCTTTTAATCTTTTTGCAGATGACAGCTGTCAGCTTGAGAAGACTGATGTAAGCAAGGGGATATCTTCCCCCATGAAAAAAAACACATGTACTTATATATATATATATATGTACATACACACACACAAATATTATGTGTGTTTAAATGTATATGCATATGTACACATCCAATTGCCACTGGTTTTCATGGCCAAAGTATTTTAAAAATATTTGCCCTCAAACATGATACAGAATATAAAAGATAAACCATGCTGAACTGTATTGAATTTATCCATGAGCAGCCTCTTAAAGAAACGGAATTGAATGTCTGCTGAGATGCAAAAATTAACATGTATAATGTATCCATAAAGATCTTTGCCGTCTTCACTTTCAGCATTCAGAGTCAGTACGAATGGAGAAATCTAAACAGATTATTTTATGTGGCTGTTTTAATATTGACTATTTATTAAAGCATATGCTCAGCATATGTGAATGAATATAAACAGTGTGTGTTGTTCAGTGGTTTAAGCTATTGGCATGCAATTACCTTACCTTGTAATTGAAAAATTTTGTCACGTGAGCAAACAGTTCAAAGCAGAAATCCAGATCAATATCTTCCCTGAGGGTATCTGCTGCCATGCACTTCGCTGCGTACCATCCCATCTGCCTTGCCTGAGTCCAGAGCCTCATCTGAAATCCAAGGCACGAACATATGTGTTCCTGTGCACTGAACAGCAGCCACTGTTCTCATCAGTGCATACTAAGCACCTTCATTATGCTCAGGCTAATTAACCAACTTGGCTTTCAACCACAGGATGAAACGAGCTGACGTAACACGGGCAGGATTATCTCCTTACTCAATGCTTTCCCGTGCAACTGAACTTGGTTTCCACACGCCTAAAGCCTGCAAGACATTTACTGTGAAGATGGGGTTGCTGCCCAGAGCACTCCCATGATTGGGCTTACCTGATGCCACACAGGACTGGGTTCCCAGGAGGCTGTGCAGATATCCCCAGCTGCATATATGTCTGGTATGGATGTGTGCATGCGGTCATCCACTTTCAGACCTCCATCTTCACCTAGAGCAAACTAAGTATTTGCAGTAATCAGCACTGAAGAAAAATAAGTATTTTAACTGAGTAATTCAGCTTAGTCCTTGTTAAGTGGCCACCTCATCAGTTACTTCTTACAGCTGGGATCTCTACAATGTTTCAGCAAATCCACTGATCCTTTTGCTCAAAATATCTGAATATTTAAAACTACATGGGTAAATACTAACTGAACCCAACAAGGCCTTGCTGGCTGCCCTCTAGCAACATAAAAAGGTCAGAAAAAGGTCATTAGTTTATGCCTATTCATTTGCCCATCTAATCTAACTCAGCTACAGAAGACAGATAATCATAGGAAAACATATTACATAAAGATCCCAATCTTAAGAAAACACTCCATCATTTTTAAGAGAAGAAAAGTGATTCCCCCAAGAGTATCATAATGAAGTAAATTTGTTAATTGTTTACCTATTCTTCAGATAGCTTTACCTGCTAATTATTCTTTATATTATAATGCAATAAACCTCAGGATTTATTTTGGAATCTTACTATGCTTGAGCAGGGGGGTTGGACTAGATGATCTCCAGAGGTCCCTTTCAACCTTAACCATTCTGTGATTCTGTGAAATAGCTTAGAAATGTATTTCCTACCAATCTGTGTGTTCTTTTCTCATCATTTTTTGTTCTTTTATTTTGTTAAAGCTCATATTAATTCCAGCAGCAATCCAGTTCATTAAATTCCAGGATTTATCAGGGAAAATTTAAACTTCAGCTCCTTTTAGAGCAGTCTTAATACATAGCTTTTGTATTTACATAAAAACTATTCAAACACAAAGCTTAAAAAGCAATCAATGTTGCATTTTACCTTTACCTTTCTTTTAAAGTAACCTACAACACCGAACTCTATGTAGTAAAAAAAAAAAAAAAAAAAGCTTAGAATAGCATCACATCTAATAAAGATTTAAGGTGAGACCATCTAAAGCAACACAAGCTGCACAGCAGGACAAAAGTATGCTTTTTTAAAAATTATTATACTGTATCTGGCAGGGATGTAACAGAGAGCGCCTACTTTCAAATCACACCATGTATGTAACAGGCACACCTGGTAATTTAGGATTCAGTTTGCATTTTTGTCTAGGCCAGGAAAAATGACTCCAAACCCAATTCCTAAGCTAACTCTAAAACGTACCTGGGAATATTTCATGGCTCAACACTAATTGTATGTTTTTCTAATTTTCTTCTGGTAGCTTTCTACTTCATTATCAGAAAACAAGCAACCAACCCTAACATGGAGATACAATGATGTCAAGGTCAAAAAATTCACCTGGTGACTAAAAAATCTGTAACCATTTTCCATGATCAGACTCTGATTCTTAAACACTTACACAACCTCAACAATTTACTTCAGAAGCACAAATCAACTCTGTCGACCCTTATTTTTCCCTACTTAAAACAGACAAAAAACTAGCTTAAACTTCAAGATAAATCCATATACTTACGTTATTGCCATCGAGAAATGGTTTAACATTTGGCACAACTCCAGTTGCACTGACAATGAAATTGCATCCATAAACTTTTCCATTAGTTAATTCCACATATATAGGCCATAGAACTGTAAAAGGGGAAAATTTTGCCCTGAGAATGTAACCAACAGAAGATATTTTTATAAATTATGTCTCACTATAAGTTGTGAAATAAACAAAAGTCAGAAAACACAATCTTTTGAGGTATCACTGCAGACAGACTTTGGTGCAGGCTAAAGCCACCAATATACACATCCACGGACTCACAGAATCATATAATCATATTCGTCCCTGCTTGAGCAGGGGGGTTGGACTAGATGATCTCTAGAGGTCCCTTCCAACCTCAACCAGTCTGTGATTCTGTGATTTAGTTGATGAGGTAAGAAAAAAAATTCAGATTGCGTGTAACATTTCTTACTTAGTTTAGATCTAGAAAATGAGATTTGAAAGCTTACTTCCCAGTTTTACTGTATCAGATTTCTCTGTATCTTTGTATCTTTCCATCTCTGTATCTTTCCTCTGGAACATTCCTGAATCAAATCTCTTGTTGGCAAGAAGGAAGTGTTAGGTCTTGACACTGTACAAAACCAACATGGTGTTCTGTGGCTAAGTCTCATAAAAACTCTGAAGTATCATGTAATTGCCAATTATTCTTTCATATATAGAATTATTGATGCATGGGAAATGCCAGAGACTTAACTTACTAGATACTTATACTGGTATTTAACCAGCTACTAAACAAATATTTTAAATATTAACTCCCAATTCAATGAACTTTAATGATAGGATCTGATGAAGTAAGTTATATTTTCTATTCAGAGATTATTTCAGGATTTGACAGTAAAGGGTAAAATTTTTGGTTCTGTTTAACCGCACTATTAATACGTGACTTTTTTAGACTGCCACAAAGGGGCATACTCTGTACACACTCTGTACATGGCAAAAGTCTGACAAATAGAATTTTGTAATTTAATTGGAGCACGTAAATCAAACCCATAACCACTGCAAATTGCTATAGCTCCACTGAACTTATAGAAACAAAATACTTGTTTTCCAAAACAATTCTATTTAAAACAACAAACATTCATCAGCTGTGCTTTATTTTCAACTTGAATTCTGTAATTTTCTTCTTTTTTTTTCCTTTTCCTTTTTCAGTGCACCTACCATCATCTGCTTCTACATTTTTCTCTTCCTTGGGAAAAGTCAGCGAAGTCAATTTCAGCTGTAGAAATTCTTGCTGTAGGAGTATTTGCTTTACTTCACATAATATTTCAATATGTACTTTATGAGAAAACTAAAGATAGATTGAGAAAATTGTAAAAATAATCATTAGCATTAACAATATTTTAGTAGCAAATACACTTTTTCCTAAACTGAAGTGTTTAGTAAACTGAACACATATCGCACCTCGCAGTATGACACATGCTGATTTTTCACACTTTCATTTTGGCACAGGAAAACAAAACAGAATTTTTCAGAACTGGAAAAGCTAAACTCCATTTTTTGTCTTTCAGGGATTTCAAATCCTACATATTTATCATGAATTAAATTCTGATAATATTACATTAATTCATATTAATATTAGACAATAATCTGGTTCCATCAGGCCACATTTCAGCTACATTCTCCTGTTCTGAGCTCAAGACATAAGTTGGAAAGGTGTCAGTTTCTTTAAATTATTTTGTGGACTGAGACTGTCAACAGCTTTACTTCTTTGTTTTTGATCAAACACATTTCCACACCATATAACACCATCCACTAGTGTGCTGAACATCTTCAATATCCTTTAGTTGGTACTGCAAGTTCTGTAGAGTCTATGATTACTCGTCTCTGACAGGCTTTTTTATTTAAAAAAAAACATTTAACAGATGCAAACACTGAACACTTAAATTAATAAAAAGTGATAAAAAAGTAAAAATGGGAGTTTTTATTTGATTTTAAATGTAAAAACATTCTCACAACCTCCCTGTCCACTATTTATTTTGCATTTCATTATCTATGGCAACAGGAGACTAATGTTCTTTTAATACATTTTACAGTCCTGTATTTCACATAGTAAAATGCAGCTGAAAATAACTGAAATTAAGATATTAAAAGTACCGCTGCTTCTGGTTAAAGCTAGCATAGAAGAAAGTCCTACAGAAATGTGCAAAGCAACATTTGTATATTTCGGTCCAAGACTGTGCCAGTTGATCCAATTTGCCATCTTCTTCAGGAAGCAGAAGTAATTGCAGAAAATAGCAAAAAATAATGGCATTCATGATCATTTATTTTCCAGTATAATCTGGTAAATAGGAGTTCAAGCACATTTTCTTTTCTCTTTTCTAAAAATCCTCAATATGGTTTTTCACTTTCTGCAATCCTTACCAAGCGACACAAAATGTGAGCAGGAATATTATGGCCGTACCTCTTTAGCGCCTTTGAGGCGTAAACCCTCGTGCCAATCAGGGCCTAAGGCACTGCCCAGTTTGTCAGATTCTGCGATGGGTCTTTCTTTTTTCTCTTTTCCTGAAGGAAAGAGTTGGAGGATATCACAGTTAGCATATAGTATGCTAACTCTGTATGCACACACACACGCACATATATATATATATATATATATATACACACACACACACACACACACTTCGCTGCCTGTAGAATTCAGAGCAAGGATTCAGAGTTAAGAGAAGGACAATCCGGTTGCTAGAAAGAAATACAAAACCACCCAGGTAAGCTGAAACTTACTATTTCACTGTTATTTTGTATATCAGACATAAAAATAGTATTTTTAACAATACCTTTCAACTTAATCCCTTTCATAGTTGACTTACCTCAGGAACAACCACTACATGTAATCAATGATATTACCACTGAAGAGAGGAATTGTGGATTCTGAGCACTGTTAAGTGCCTGTGCGACCCTTAGCAGCCAGCCCTCAGGAGATTCTGGGGCACCGAGGTTCTGAAGGCCCATGGGAGACTTTGTTGCTTAATATCAATGCTATTAAATTTATGTTTGTTTGCTACCGAACATGCGCTACGTGCCCTCCATTGCATGAAAGTGCAAATTCTAATACATAACACATTTGAAAAGAATTGTGACTGTCAGGATGAACCTTTCATGATCCACTCTTTCAATCTCAACCCTACTCTTTTGTTAATTTTTACCTATATGTAAATTTTTACATATATGTACAAACAGTACAAAATATGTACAAATAGTTTTACAAGAATAGAGTTTAATTGAATCTGTAATAACCTTCTGTAAGGTGTCATCTCATTCTCCAATAATTTATTATGGGAGAGCTCCCTCTTCAAAAATGCTGGCATAACTCAGAGGAACACTGAAATCTAACAGAAAATATATAGTAGTACTTGCACAGATTGAACACAGAAAGTCAAAATTAGGCACAGATATAAAGTTAAGCACATTTACAATCTCTAGATAACCATATTCTACAGTCTCACATATATATATATGCATATTGAAGAGGTTTTTGTCTTTTTTTAAAAAAGGAAATGTAACCAATAACTCTAAAAATGATCTAGAGGCTGTTAATTTAACTGATCTCAGGATTCCCTCTAATAAAAGATGGAAGCACCATACCTTCCATTGTATACTTGGTTCTTTTACATGCTATCGCAGTCTCTCGTTTTTCAGCAGTTAGCTTTGGAATGAGGAATTCAGCTGCTCCTGCATCAAAAAAAGTGTTCCCAATTGCTTTGTCTTTGATAGCCCAGATTACTTCACAGCCTTCAATTTCATACCTTAATGGACATTTAAACAGTGGATAAAACAACAGATTGTCAAATGAAAATCAGCAAAAATAAGGGTCTTTCCAGAAGCTAGAAACAATAGATCCCAGATAAACTTCACACCCACTGCATCTCCCAAGTATTCATGTAAGCACTGAAGTGCTTACACTTCTGCAGTGCAATCATATAATACAGAAATTACTACCATGTATTAGGACCATAGGACCATATGACTCCATGCCCTCCTACTTGTGACAAAGGTTGTATCAGAACCTTCAAGAGTACATCTGCCTAAATTAGGTTGGTGCAAGATAAACTGCTTTTCTATAACCTTTACATCTTGTTTCTAAAAGTCAGACAAGTTTTATTACTTATTACCATTAGTAGCAATCTTTGTTGATTATAAATCAGAACAACTCTGTATATTCTTGATGCCTGTATATCAAAAATTCTTTTGAAGCATGCTGAATTTTCTATAACTGTAAGTTCCATTATGTCATGAATAAATAATAGTTTTTCACAAATTTTCCTACTAAACACCTTAAGATTTACAATTTTATAGGAAGGTGACCTTCTTTTCCCCAAACTCATGCACACTAGATTTAATGTCTAATTGTTAAAGATTTTATCTGCATACATTTCTTTGTAACTTAAATAGTTTACTTACACTAATTCAAGTGCAATGCCACCATTTCCTACTACTACTATTCTCTCTGCTTGAGCCAAATTCTTCTGAAAAGCCTGTATTGATAAAAAAACAAAAAAGCGAACTACAACTTAGATCATGTTTCCCTCACACTGATCAAATATATCCTTTTCAATACCAATATACATTTATTTTTGTTAAAAAAATTGTTGAAGAAGGTCATAAAACCTGTCAAGTTCTATCCTGTAATGGCACGAAGGTTTTCCACAGCCATTTAAGTCTCAAACTGATCCAGAAGCTGTTAAATAGTTACATTTAAGTCAAATCGGCACAGCTTGTAACAGAATCCAGGAGCCTTTCCTCTATCTTCGAGACTACAAGCAGTGTTGGCATCTATTAAACCAGTTTTATCGTAACTTGTGTAACTTTACCATAACTTGTACAAATAACACAGCAAAACAAATTAAGTTTTTTCATCAGTTTTCAATTTATAAAACAGGTTGTAGCAAACCTGAGATCTGATTTGCCTGTAAAACTTTTAGAAAGAAACAAGTGTACAAATTATGTCTTAGCGGTGAGAGAAGTAAAATGTCCAACCTCCACAGTATTTTTGTCTGGATTGTACAGCACCACTTCATATTTTATTTCAAACGAATCAAGAATCATTTTTTTACTGCTGAAAATGCTCCTATTTAAGGGCATAAAATAACAAATACCAGCTGGTGTTTCTCCTTTTCACTCAACTACCATATTTAGTATTTTCACCAGAAACAAGAATCTCTTACAGATGTTTAAGTCCAGGCCCCATTTACCTCTGCACTGTCAGTATCCCGGATGCCTAATACATACGGGTTTCCTTCAAAAATTAATTTGGGTTTTGCTCCAGCACACAGGCATAGTTTTTCATATATATACTCCTTCCCATCTTCAGTCAAAATTTTCTGTTAAGAATCAAGAGGAAAGAAAAAAAGAATTGGAGACATCTAAGAAACTTCAGCATTACATTTAACATTACAGCATTTGCAGATATTAAAAGCTGTATCTGGCTTATAAAAAATAAAATAATAATAAAAAACTCTAGCATGCCTTCAGTCATGTTTCATTAATTATATATTATTTTATTTGCATTACACTCACTACAGACTTCTGAGTCTTATCATATGACACGAGCAGTAAAACAGAGTGTGCACATGATGCACTCAGAAATGAAATATAAAGTTTTCCTCTTGGTGGCACCCTGTGCTCAGTTTCTGTGTTTGAAGAAGGAACAGTTTTCTGCGTGGCAGTTCCCTGCCAAACTTACATGACAAAACACGCAATGTTGTTAGCCCAAGTGCTATTTTATCTCAGGGACAACTTTTACTTCTGTGCTCAGAAAATGGATACTTTTACATTCAGACTGTTTTTCTTGTTTGCATGGAACACTGATGGATTATTTCAGAGGTCGAACAATTTCTTTATAAGGTCTGATTTCAAAATCAGACTTGTACTACAAGTACTTGTACTAGAAGTACAAACTTGTACCTACAAGTTTACAAAAAAAAACAAAAAAATAAAACAGTAGTAGACCTATGCACCATTAAATATTAGCAGTTAAGAATCTCATTTGATATTTATTTAAATATTTAAAGAGTTATGCTACTTGTACCTTAATTAGGCATTGGCTAGATGGAATAGCTTAAAGCTGCAAATAGCTGCAAATTCTGTTTTTTGATAATGAAAAAGTGCAGGTGACATAAAGCTACATCACTCTGCAACAAGCATTTAAAATGTAACATTTTATCAATTTGATGTTGTCTTCCTAACCAGAAGGTAAATAATCTGCAGTGCTTCTGCGTGAAGAGAATTTTTAAAATTATGTGATAACAGAGGCAAAAGATCCTTCAAATCTGTGATCATGAAATATTGGTGTGCATAGAGACAGAGATTAACTTAAAAGCATGACAATAATGAAACCACAAGATCATCACTAGGTACAGAATATTAGCAGAATTATAATCTTTGGAATAACAGCTCTACAATTCAAAATGAGCAAAGCTGATCTGGAACTGAACATGAGTTCTCAATAAATACTCAAGTGGAAAATAACATGTCAAGTTGACTTGGGCACTAAAGGAGATCTGTACTTGCTGTACATTGTTTGTACTTGCAGCATTTTTTTTCTGGGAAAAAAGAAGGAAAGAAAAAAGTGGAAATGTTGGTTCTTTCAATATTTTTTTTCTTGCATGCAATGAAGCTATTAATATTTTGGCCTCTGTGGCAACTAGCAATAATTCAAGAATCACAGAGATCTCCAATTACTAATTTCAGAAGCTTTCTGACACCTACATTGACATACAATATCGATTGTATTAACCACTTTCCCTGTTATTCCAATCAGGCATTCAACACAACAAATTTAAGATGTCAAAGATTTAAATCTAAGTAATACGGTTCCTTATCAAATACTCTATAATTATGCCCTTTGTATACAGTTCTACTGAAACAATGGTAGAAGTGATACATGAAATAAAAGTTAGAAAGTATCATTCTTTTGTCAAAAATATTAATCTGTTCCTTATTTTTTTTCTTACACAATTTGAAGGACACACATAAAAATAAAAAAGAGAAAAAATTAGCTTACATGCTCTTCGCTTTTCAATTGTTTTACTCCAGACTGTATAACTTTAATATTCGGATACCGCTTTTCTAGCAGAGAACTTGGTTGTTCCTCTACATCAAATTCTTCAAGTGTTTTAGAGACCTGTGGGCAAAAAAACACTTAAAATATGAATTCATCTCTTTTCCTAAATTTTGTAACAAAAGGTGTTAAGTCCAGTACAAAATTCAAAACATAAAGCCCATATTTTCACAACAGGCTACCATGTCATTGCTAAAACTACCTGTTCTATACATAATCTTTTCATGCATATTCCTAGTAAAGGTTCAAAGTAGTACAAAGAATTTTAATCCTAAAGCTAAAAATGAAGCAAAAAGGCAGAATGCTATACTTACAAAGACAGATGCACCATCTGCAGTGTTTTTTTTTTCCATATATGATTACACTGCAGAGTTGGTAGCACTGCTTTTTAATTTACTTGAATAAGACCTTGTTGTATGTTGGTTGAAACTTCAATAAAAATAACACTATTTGTACTGATGTTTTCCCATGCCAGTATATTTCTCTTCTAGATCTTTTGGAGGAAATCTTGGGTCAGAATAGCTTGGACATTTAGGGAGTATTTTTGTCTAGAGTGATTTCTTTCCTTATGCAAAAAGGAAACAAAACACAGCACGAACATCAAAACACCCTTATGACATTTTCTCAAAATAAAACTACTAATAATCATGTTGCAGGTAGGTAGCTCTTATCTCAGGAAGATACTTCTAAGCAAAACATACCAAACAGCATTTAGGCAAAACAAGTTGCAGATCACCTCAACCTTTTACTCATCTGTAAACAAGCCCTGAAATATCAGACACTGACAAAAAATTAAAAAAAAAAAAAACTCAGAAAATAACCAAGCAGTTATGGTCATTTTGGGTTTCTTTCAGAATGGAGAAGCTGCATGTGAACTTCTGGGCCTTCTACTCCATAGGATACCTAGTCTGGAACACAGCTAGGAATCAGAAGCCAAATCATGCTTACAATTTACAGAGAAATTAAGACCTCTGCATCCAAAAACTAGATGCTGCTCCACTCATAATATCCTGCCAATCTATTCCAATCTTCAGATGTTGAAACTTGGGAGTGTTTAGATCTCCAGAATGCACAAACATGTGTCCTGGACACCCAGGGCCTTCCCGCCGCCTCCCAACCTCACAGGAAATGCTTGAGATAGGTGTTACTCTACCACCCTCACATGCAGCGCTCAGTCTCTTAGCTATGTCCTACGTGTCTCCAACCCCAGAAAAAAAAAGTACAGCAGGAAAAGAGGTGCTGACAGCCAATTCCAGTCACTAAATAGACGGAATTGTTGTCCAAGTCTCTCATTTCCCCTCTGCAGTGATGTGAATACTGGGATACATACATCCCAAAAACTGGCATCCACACCTGTAAAATGGTTAACCTGCAGAGCTGTCATCCTCTATCTTGCATGAGATGCACCTCAGCATTGAGCCAAACCATGTATTTCAGTGTGTTTCAGAGAAAGTGTCAAAAATGTAAGTTCTAGGTGGAAGCTCTGCTCTAGTTGTCTAACTTTCTCTGACGAGTTAAAGTTAATTCCCTACCGACCTGCTGTGCAATCCAGCCTCCAACTTTTTCCATGCGCTACAATAAGGTTTGCCAAGGTGATAGTATAGGACTGTGTTTTACAAGATCTGAGTACATCTGTGGTTCCAGCCTTATGAGCCTACTAGCCAGGAATCTGAAATCAACTGTGGAACTTTAAGTCAGCACACAGGAGGTCACCAGCTACCAGGCAGTGAGATAAAAGTTGAAGGGAATATCACAAATCTAATCCTTTTTGCATACTTACCACAGGTCTTATTCTGTTTGAGATTAAAACCTGCTACTGTATGAAAGGTTGGGGATATGAGATTCACTAGTAGGACTTCATTTCCTAAATAATTTATTCCAAAGATTCCATTTCAGTGCTTAAAATGGAGCACTCCCACTAACAAAGCAGTGGAATAAAGGTTCTATAGGAACTTAGAAAATACTTCAACCATATAAGTAGTGTTTGTACTAATACATTAATACTATGAATTCACTAATATTGCTTGCTCAAGTCACTACTATTGTGAATATATTCACTAATTATTTACTAATGATTAATGAACCAATAGAGAATAACTCATCAGTCCTACTAATGCTTCCAGTGCAGTTCTGCTGATGTGAAAACAATTTCACAAATACAACCTTTCAGGATTAAGCTCTAAATTATCTGTACTGACAAAATGCACTAACTTTTGGAGATACATTACCGTAACAAAATCTAAGCTGCTTACCTGTTTGAAGTTTGTTACAGCTTTTATAACTGGAGATGCTGTCACTAAAAAAATGTCCTCTGATGGAAATTCTGTAGCCAGCTTGTAAAGAAAGAGAACATGATGATTGAATACAGTCATCAGTAGAATATTATTCTAAGATCATATAATTACTGTAAAGAAGTAATATGTAACGTTATCCTAGTAGGTAAATACCATTCCAAATATAAAGAGGCATGAGACAGGAAATGGCATGGAAACTTTTACTGGATAGCAGTGGCTAAATATTTTGATTTAATTTTGTCAGCATAAATACCGATTCCTATTGGCCATTTTAAATTTCCTTTAGTATAATTTTAAGTAGATTATCATTTTCAGGGTCCTATAAGGGAAAATTCTTACATGGTCCAATGCCAAGATGAAATACTCTAATCTTAAACACTGATTATTCTGCCACCACAGCAAATGAGAACTCCATCACAGCACAAACAACTCATCATTGAGATGAAAATAAAACTCAGTTTCTTGCCTCCAGTAATCTCCAAATAACCAGAATACATCACCAAGAAGCATATCTCGAGTCGAGCATTAGTGACAGAGCTATAAAGGGACTAGCATTTATTCCTGTACCTCAGATAGGAAGAATCTGACAATCAATCTGAAGTTTTAAGTGTTAAAACTTTGTGTCTGGTTAAAAAAGAAATTCTCATGGTCATACCTTGGGCACAAAACAAAACAGAATTTCACCAGGCAGTGTGAAAACTTAATGTAATCTATTCTTTGCAGTATGAATCAAAAAACATGTATTTCATGCATTTTGTAGCTGCATGGTTTATACTAATAGAAAAAGGAAAAGAAAGTTTCACTGTTTATGCAACAAATTAGTACCTTGTGGCGCTGTAGTTGGTTGCAGCTGTAGCTAATAAACAAGTCTCAGAAAAACTACAGAATGCCATGAAAGCACATTCAAAACACAACTAACTCTAGAAGATTTTTATAACATGGACCTAAAGCAATGACTGTTCTCAGGAGCCTTAAAAAGGTTGGACTGCAGGTCATCATGGAAAAGACTCCCAAAAGTGCAATACCACAAACAAGTTGTTTATTGCATGTTTACGAAACTCCAGAGAATTTTGCTTGCTCAAAACCATAACTGAGAAAATGGTGCTTCATCTTCCCTTTGCTTTTAATGCCTGCCCCCAGCTGGGAAACCCCAGCAGAAGGCCACGTGCCTCTGCTAACGGACTCGATGGATTACACCGTGTGCTAGGAGACCAAACTCACTGTTATCTGTGCTTCCTGCTCTGCGCAGAGATGACATAAGGTCATTAGCCTCTGTCACCACCTAAGCATCTGGCTTGAGATTTCGAAGAAAAAAAGTATTGGTGAAAGAAGCAAGGGCGAGACAAAGAGCATGAGAGGTGTGAGGCAAAGCAGCAGCTCTGACTGGCATTCTCTGTGAGCTTCTAACAAAGAAGCTGTAACTCTGAGGCACCCACACTGCAGAAAGCCCTCATTTTTAAGAGGGGCAACAAGCAGTCCCCTTTAAAACAATTAAAGGATTTTTTTTAAGCATATACTTTTAAGAAATAACTGCACTGTGAAATGGGATCACTGCAGCTTGACACAACTCAGCTTTGAATCACTTCCAAGAAAACATTAAGTTTGCTCAAGTATCAAATCGTGGTGCAAATGGCACAGGTTGCCCAGACAGGTTGTGGAGTCTCCTTCTCTGGAGACCTTCCAAACCCACCCGGATGCCACCCCGTGCCAGGTACTCAATAGAGGAGCTGGACTAGACGATCTCTAGAGGTCCCTTCCAACCCCAACCATTCTGTGACTCCGTGAAACCTCATTCCTGCGAGCCCTTAGGGAGCCCCCATAGCTTTGCCTAGAGAAACGCTATCAACACACACAGGCCTCACGGGGGGGGCGCCGCACGCATGCGCCAGGCAGCAGCAGCGGCTCTGGGGCGCTTTTACCTTCTCGGCGCAGGTGACCCCCGCGATGCCTCCGCCTACCACCGCGAACCGGCTCCGCGCGGCGGCCACCGCCCTTTCCCCC